GCAGATAATTTTGCATGCTAGCAGTTATCCTTTAGTAATACCAGTTTGCTCCTTGTACACTGTCTTAGCATGCCTCAGTCTGAACAACAGCAGTAAAGAGTTTAAGAGACAAGAAGGTAGAGCAAATGTGGTCTGTGTTTCTGCAGAAGTGAAGGTTAGAAAGATAAAGGGAAAATGATTAAAATATTCACAAGAAGTGCCCTAGATAAGATTGTTTCGTGTCTGAGGGCACGATGCATCCTATGGGAATGAGGAAGCTAAAAGGCTGTTTAATTTTGATGTTTCACATTGAATTAACATGTTAGATATCAAAGTGGTATTAATGAAATTTGTAAGAGCACAGGCATTTTGTGTGAAGAATATAGAAATAAAGTAACTTAGTCCAACCAAATCCTTTGCTGTATCTGAGCTATACAGAGAATGAACGTTGGAGGCTTAACGTGAGTATAATAAATCAAACTGCCAGCTGAGCCTCAGAGGGCTTTATTCATGCACTTCATTGTTCTCTGCAGATACAGCAGGGTTCAGCCAAATGCAGGGTTGTCATTCTGCAGATGTTCAGAGTGTTTCACAGTGTTCTGAAGACTGAGCTGGTGTCTGTCTGTTGTCTGCGCTGCTCAGAGTGGCCATGCTCTAGCTTTCATGGGAACTTTTACATGCAGAAATCACAGTGTGAGTTTGCAGTTTTGGGTGAGTGGGGTTGTGTACTGTTGATAACTCTCAGAAAAGGCTCAGATTTGTAGCTTCTGGAAAGTGCTTTTTGGCAACAGAAGATGCCCTGCTGACCCTCTGCAGCTTGGCAGAAAATGTACCTCAGTGTATGAGCTTCCAAAGCACCTCTCTCAGGGTACTTCTTGGGGCTGCTGGCACAGAGCAGGTTTTTTAACCTTCACTAAACTGTTTCCTTTCCCTATATCCTCAGTACCAGGCAATCAAATAGTAAAACAGGAGGCAGACTTATTTAATAAGATTGAAATGGGAAACAAAGGGTAAAAGCAGAACAGATAGAAAGCTGTATTCTGGTTTAACACATAGTGACACATCTGGTTGTTCTTACCTAGAATTCTAAAACAGGTCTCTGCTGTTGGGTCTGACAAGTCATTAATAGCCTCTAATTAGTGTTAGCTTTAAGTATTCAAAGTTAAAATTGTCGAGTTTTCCATCACCTCTTCTTTCTTTTACCTCATCCTCACTAGAGTTCTGGCTGGAGATGAGCACTTTTGTGTTGAAAAAATTGCTTTTTTCATTCTGTCTGTATTCATTTTGCTGGCTGGCTGGTCCATATTTGACATGCATCAGTATTTTAATGAACATGCTTGCAACATGCTCTTACGATTAGTGTAGTGTGTTTTGTTAACTCAGTGTTTTCTGAGAGTATCTTGAGCATTTTATAGAGACTTCATGGATATATTTTTACCCCATCGATAAATTTTAACTAAATGATCTGATTATACACAGATAATGCTTGTAAATAAATATTCTTTCTCATCTTCTCCCTAGCCTGCTTCTTTTGGAGTTTTGCTTATCTTAAATTATTGTTCAGTAAACTTACCAGTAAAACTTTAACTTAAGAGCAATCAATATTTCACTCACTTGTAGAAGGATAAGTAAACACATTTTTTTCCTATCAAATTGGTTAAGATAAGAAATACTACAGCTAACTAATTTTTAATATTAGTTTGACAGATGTATATTTTATCCCAGTACAACAAAGGCAGTGTTCAGGAATGTTTTTCTTGGTGGTGGTTCTGTGAGCATAACCCTTGGATCTCTGTGTAGGTCAAGGACAAATTTCACACAGCCCTTTGCAGTGGGACAGCTAAGCTGTCTGCTGACAGGATCAGGTACTTTCAGGTCACTGGAACATTGGGAATGTTCTGGTATCAGGGCAGACAGTTTTTCTGCAACCTGCCTCTCATCTGTTCTGAATATGTCAAGGGAGTATTTCAAGGAAATGCTAAGGAAGGTGAAGGTGATTTCTAGGGCTTTATGAAGATCGATGTGCATATTTCTAGCTGAACAGAACTTGCAGTGTTCAAACTTGACTCAACTGTGATACAAGACAGATTCTTTAACAAGGAAATCTGTGATATTTTCTTAAACTGCTCATCTGTACATTTTGACTTCCTTTCTTCTTTTGATTACTCTAACTTTAAAAAAGTTGAAAAAAAAATCTGATCCAATGCTTTTAATATTGTTAATTACAACGTAGTAGTTGATATCGTCAGATATTATGTGATTAGGCATGATTGTTTGGTCTTGCATTCCTCATTTGATTTCAGCTTGCATGACTGCTTTGAGTTCAGAAACCTAATTAATATTTTATGATGAGATATTTGCTTTGAATATGGTGACTGAATGACTTGCCTTGATAAACACACTAGTTAGATCAGGGTCTGCTAAGCTGATGTTTCAGTTAAGAGTCAGGTTATGCCAAATATTAACTAGAAGCAGTAAAATCTCATCCAAGTATAATGAGTCTGTGTACTTAAACATTCCTTGGTTCTAACAAACTGATGGAAGCTGTGATTCTGTATGTTAATGTGAAGTTGCATATTACAAGATCAGGGAGAAGTTTGGTGTCTGTTGCTCTTTCTTACACAACACGAACTTCAGTGTGAAGTTCTTGTTGTAGTTAATGATAGCTGACTTCTTGCGTATATAGAAATTAAGAAACAAGACCTTTATTTGCACAGCTTGAATTGCTGTAATGTGTAATACTACTTTTAAATTTCTCCTGAGAGTATCAGACATTCCAGTAAAACCAAACCTCTGCTGCAATTTTCAAAGATTGTTAGTAATTTTTTTTTTTGGCGGGGGGAGGGTGCAGAAGAAGGGGTAATGCTTTTTTAAGTTGCCTGCTTTAAATGAGAAGATGATTACTAGTTTTCTGTCAGTTTACTAGTACACTACAAATGTATTTCTTAATAGTTTAGACAGTTTATAATCCTCTGGTAACTTGAACTATGTGGCTGTTTGCTTCAGTCATTTATTCCCCCTCTGTAGAATCAAGTTATTTTAGCTGTCTGGTTATTATTTGAACAGATGGGACTTGCAGATCATTGGAGACTGAAGCACTGTGGTGTACAGGCTATTGATAACTCTGTGGTGTTTGCTGTCTTTCAAGCTACTGGTTTAAGTTGTAAAATATAATTAATTTGAGGTGTTGTACTTTTAAGTAATATTTTAGCTAAATCAGTGTATTTAGTTAAATTTGCAGGATTAAATATTAGATTTTACTTGCGTACAGAGCTTGACAGATTTTACCAACTATGATACTCTGTTCCTTGCATTTAAGTGGAGCCTAAGGCAGCTGAATGGCTTTGTGCAAGAGTAGCGAGTTTTAGTGCTTGAGTTTATTGTATACAAACGACTGGAAGCCTGTGTTTGCAGGATTTCCTGAAGTATGCTGCTTGTAGTTCCCATTAAAGGTTAACTTTTGGCAATTTTCACAAAACCTACTTGTTCTAGAAACGCTACTGCTGATGCTTTTTACTCTAGCACCGGTTATATTTGAATGCTTCACGTTGAAAGATTACAAACTGCACATGAAATTGTTTGGTTTTTTTCTAATGGAATTGATCGCTCAGAGCAATTTTTTTGATGCTTTTATGGCATTTCTGTTGAGCTAATATGGTCTCCATTGAACTCTGCTTGAGATGCTGCAGTTAGAGAATCACAGCATGGTTTGTGTTGGAATGGACCATCTCATTCTAACCCTCTGCCTTGGGAGGGACACTTTCCACTACTCCAGCTTGCTCAAAGCCCCATCCAGCCTGGCCTTGAACCTCCTCACTGACAATTTGCAGTTGGTCACTCAGATAAAGAGTAGGAACAGTAGATGTCTCTAAAAATTGCTTTCAGTAACTTGCCCTGCACCTGAAGGTAAGCACCTCAGAAGAGGCTGTGGAAGATAACTAATTACAGAGTTTAGTCAGTGTCCAAACACCTTGGGAGTTTTCTTCAGTTACCTATCTTGGTTTGGCATTTAAAAATGCAACTGAAGCAAATGGTAACTGTTATGGAAAGCTGAGTGAACTTTTTAGCTCTTTCAACAGGTGAAGTAAGTCTTAAGGCCTGTAGGATCCTTGTATCAGTCCTCTTCCAGGGAGCACCATCTGGTTCATGAACTGAATATGGTGGGATTCCTATGAAGATACGTTCCATATGTTTGCTTATTTTCCTGTTTTTGTAAACATTTTTTCATATGCAAATATGGTGAAATGAGGTGGACAGCTTTAATTTGTTTTGGCTGATTTGTTCTGGTTGTTGCCTAGCTTTAATAAGCTTTTATCTCAGACTCTTATATATAAAATAAAATCTTTAGTGTGGAAACTCCAGATTTAATGACAGTTTTGTGTGGGAGCTCTACTCTTGGGCTTGGCTTGCATTACTCATGCTACTTCTGCAGAACTGTACCCTTGACCTAATGAAGTAACTGATGCTCATGTGTCAGCAGCACGTGTGTCATTTCTAATCAGTGAAAAAGGATAGAACCACATCTCCTACTTCCTTTGGTAGAGGTTTTCATAGCTATTTTCCAGGAATCTTAATATTCAGAAATGTGTTATATTAGAAAAGTCTTCAGGGGAATTTTTGTCTGAGGTGCTTTAAGATGCTTCTGACTACTCAGACAAGTTTTTGTTTATTCTTGTGTGCTTTTGGTTTGCCTTGGCCTCCCCAAGGGCCAGGTGCTTTTGGGACTAACCTGCACTGTACCAAATATTGGCAAGTGGAGCATTGAGAACAGAAAACAGACTTAGGACTCCTTCCGGCATTTAGGAGAAGTGATTGCTGTGGAATTGCTCAGCTGATTTCCATGGAGGTGGAGTCTGCTGACTGTGTTTGGCACAGAATCCTGTGGGAAGAGCTCCATGTTAATGTGCAGTGTTAACAAAAGACGCTGAAGGACAGTGTTCAGACTTGCAGTGGGGGTGAACTTCGATGCAGAGAGTGAAAAGCAACTTGATGTTCCTGTGGTGATTTTTTTTTTTTCTCAAATGTGAGGTTCCTCTTGGAAGACAGGGAAGTATTGAAGCTGCATCTAAATGGTTGCAAAGTTAATATTACCTTTAAGGAAGTGTGGTTTTGCCAAAATAATTTTTTGTTGTTAACTCTTCCTCTGAGATCTACATCTTGCTCACATTACTGTTCCCCACTTAAAATGTTGATACAAATGTTTTAAGTATTTCTTCTTTTTAGGGAGCAGTGGGAAGGGAAGGTTCTGTTGTGGTTAAACAGTTCACCTATCTTGGTTTATCACTGTACTGTCGCCAAACCAGGCAGTCCTGGCCTATGCAGTACCTTCCTGTCAGTGCTGAGGATTGAACTGCTCTTCAGTGATTGAGATCATCTGCCTGCTGTTGCAGAAAACTCATCTTTCTTTCTCTATTTTTTCTTCCAGGATTATTTTGCAGCTAATATAGTGATTGTCCAAGTAACTTGCATCATGAAATCCAAAAATTCCTGGAGTGGTAGAGAAAGTAGGAATTCCTCAGCTGGAAGACAGAGAACATGACTACCCTTCTGTCACAGTGCTTTTGCCATGTTCGATTTAAACCATCCTGAAAGTGTACCAGTAGTCTGACTCTGTGGTGTGAGTATTCTTTTCATGGTTTTGGAACACTCATTGTGTAACAGCCTCCCTCATTAAGATAATTATAAAGCGATACTAAGTGGCATTAAATGATGTTCTTGTTGCGCAGTTGTTTTCTGTTTGAGGTGCGACACAGAATTCAGCTGCATGTAGTTGTTATGTTCTTGTATTACTCTGTATTTTGCAGAGCTAATAAAAATTGCTTCGAGATATTAACTTGAGAACAACTGTGTGTTGTTATCCCCAGAATGCCTGCCACTGTAGGCTGGGTACTGGCATTCTTTGCTGCTGATTCTGCTGAACATGCAAGTCATGTTTTGGAAGAATCAGAATTGAAGCATGTGCTTTTAGACTTCACTGATGGGTTTGGCTTATGGATATTTAGACCTTAGGCAGGATTCGAGCCTGTTCTGAAATGCACCCTGGGGTGCATGTAGTTTAAATATTTTCTTCAGCACAAACTGGTTTAGCAGATCTCCTCTTGTGTCAGTACATTACCCACTAATGTGGGCAGAGGGTTGGGGTTTGTGTTTTTTAGAGGACTGCTTTAGTTAACCAAAAGGTGTGAAAAGCATCTGTCAATGCAAGGAAGAGAGTTAATTTTAGCTACTAATCTTGATGAAATTGAGGAGCTCTCATTGTTAGTTTGAAACTTGGTGACAGCGTGGGAGTTTCAGGTTTGCTGCACCAGAAGTACCAGAACCCCAGAATTTTAATGTCAGGTAATGATCCAGGTTTCCCCTTCACCAAGCTATTTTGTTGGTTGCATTGAATTGTTACTTAAACTGCACTGTTGTGGGAATGAGTTGTAGAAACCAGTCCTTCTCTCCTAAGTTACTTCTAAACTGTTTGTTTACAGTAAATGGTTTAATTTCGATTAAAGGGAGGAAACAAAAATGAGATATGCTGGGAAAAAAACAGACTGAAAATCAGTAGTCAGTCCTTAAATGTAAGGCATCCCTGTGTACTGCTTCAGAGTTTTCATGTTCAAAATAGTGTATTGTAGGAAGCATTCTGCTGCCTTTTTCAAATTCGAGGGAGTTCCTGCATGCAAGCTAAGTAAAAATATCATATTGCTTGTTCTTTAATACACTGACGCGAAATTATAATCTTGAAGGGTTCTTTTTCTGGAAGAACATTGAGTCATCTACAGAGGTGACCATGGGATAGTGTTTGGCAGCATATTTAGATACAGTAGGCTTAGGTATGCAACTTTTATTTTTCCTGTAATTTATTTTTAAAATATTTGGCATCAGCTGATAAAAATAGTGTTAACATCAAATATTTGTGATTTCAGAACTGTTCGACCTGGTGGCAGTGGAATCTATTGATAACACCTGGTTATTTATAGAAAAGACTGTGCTGATGTAATCTATGGATAGTTCTGTATCCAATATTGACTTCATTATGTCTGAGGACAATTATATAAACAAGGCTATAGTTGCTGGAAGTATATTAGAGGAATTAATGAGATTATGGAGTTGCAGGTGAAATGGTCAGAAGAGGCTTCTGGGGGTCTTTGGTCCAACCACTCATTCAAAGCAGGGATAGAAGTGAGATAAATCATGGCTTTGACCCCTGAAGCCATGAAAACCCCAAAGAAGAGCAAAGCCATGGCCTCCATGTGAAACCTGTGCCTGCTTTTCACCACCCTCCGAGTGAAAAAGATCATCATTGTTTCCAACCTGAATATTCTGTGGTACCTTTTGTGGCCATTGCTCTTTTTTATTCTGTCTGCCAGGGCTGAGAGCATTTGTCTGTGCTGCCTTTACAGCTCCCATCTTGGTGTAGCTGTAGGCAGCTCTCAGATGTCCCTAGCCTTTTGTGTGCCAGAGAAAACAGCCCCCTCTCCCTCTGCCTCTCCCTGTGGATGATGCCCCTGAGGCTCTTTACCACCTGGGTACCAATGGCAGGACCCTCCCTGGTTCCTCGGGCTCCTGCTGAAGTGGGGTTCCCACCTGGGCACCAGATGTGTGCAAAGTGGTCTTGCCAGTGTCTGGTCAGGCAAGGATCACCCCCTTCCTGCTGGCTCCTGTTGCCTCTGGCATTTGCCCCAGTGCTGAGCCCTTTCCTGCAGGGCTGGTGGTGTGCCAGCCCTCCCCAGCCTATGCTGGGGGATGTGGAGCTCTTCTGCCCTGGGGCACGGCTTTGCTCTCCTGCCCTGGGCCTGATGAGGTTTGTTTGGGTCCCATCCTCGGGCTTATCTCTATATGTTTGTTAGTGGAAGTGCTGCCATTCCCTGTGTGAGCCCTCTCTTCCCTGCTCCACTCCACTTTCTGATCCCATACCAGTTTGCTGAGGGTGTGATCTGCCCCAGCTTCCTGGGTGCTGGTGAGTGTTTGGAGCTCTGAGATGGTCCCTGGAGCCCTACCTGGCCGAGGTGCAGCTGAATGTTCAGCTGCTGGTTGCAGCTGTGTGATCCAGAGATCTGGCCAGTTCTCCAGGCCAGCTTCCCTTCTGTTCATGGAGCTCTGAGCACCTCGGCTTCCAGGTGAGTCTCTGGTGGGAGACTTGTCCTGAAAGTTTTCCTGAAGTTGAAGAATGCTCTCTGGGCCATTCAACTTTCATCAGAGACCCCAGGAGCTGGGTACGCTCTGCCTTTGATAAATATTTGTTAACTCCTTAAGATTATCAAAATTAATTTCATCCGGACTTTTTCCATGTTCATTCCAGAAGCTAATAGGACTCTACAGTTTGGACAAGAATGTGAGAACTTCCTGTGAATGCCATGATGCTTTAGTAGGTGACAGCACTCACAGACACATGGTGTGATTCATGGGTGTCCTTTGCAGGGCCAGGTGTTGGACTTCATGATCTTGATGGGTCCCTTCCAACTCAGCATGATTCAAGAATCTTGGGGTAATTCTGCATGGAATACAGAAAAAAACCCAACTAATTTAGTAGCTGGTAAGCAAAATTTTTAACAGTCAGTATGAAAATCAAATTTTCATTATTTAGGAAAAAAATCCCAACCTACGAAAAGTTACTTCTGTCTTTTTAAAAGAGTTGTATTCTTCATATTGTATTAGTCCAGTAATGAAGTTTTAACTCTTACATTGTTCTAAGTAGGGAAACATAATTCAAATTTATCAGTTATACTCCCGGCAAATTTGCAAACTAGGAAGGTCTATTTTAATTCTTGTTTGTTATAAATTATTGAAGGAGGTGGCTTGGTTCTGGGGGAGATGGTGTTTGAGAGGCTCTGAAAGCAGTAATTTTCCAAGTCAATTTGTCAGATCTGATGTAAGATTGATTCTATAATATGGAGTTAATGTTTTCAAAATGAGCTGCTTGGCCAGGGCACTGTGTCTGCTTCCAATTACTATCAGTAAATCCTGAAAGTTATTTTCTGAGAAGGACTTGGTGAAATCTGCATTTTAAATAGAGATAATCAGTATGAAAGTAGTTGAAAGGAGTTTTGTAATAGTTCATGCAGTATGGTTTTGGTTTTGTTTTTGACATTGTTCATCCTGAAGTGGATGCCATGACTGTGCTGTTCTGGCGTGCACTGTTTCCTCTGTGGAAGCAGGATTACGAGTATGCTTAAAAGAATGGATCTCCTGGGTATTATTGCAAAACAAGTAATTGACTTTCTTTAAAAAAAAAAACAAAACAAAACAACTTGTGCATTAAAACAAGGATGTTCTGTAAACCCAAGTGCTGTGCACTTCTCTGATGTTTGTGACTTGCATGCTTGCTAGGTTGAGCTTATTTTCTTAGAAGTAATTTTAAAAAGTGTATATGGTCTGGGAGCATCGTTAGGATTGATACTGGTGTATAGATTGCTTCTCAGTCTGATATCCTTCAGGATTTAATTGCAGTGGAGCAGTTGAGCCCTCTTTATACAGGAGGGAAAATAGGTGGTTGTGACACTGTACTTTCAGCAGAATCTACAGGCTGCAACAGCAGCCTCCAAACTCTGCTTTCAAAATTCAGTGTGATGATGCCAAGACTTGTCATATTTGCAACTATACTCATTTGGAAGGATTGCAATACATTCACTGAGGATTATCCTTAAAATGGGAACATTCCCTGTGGATCTCTTGGCCCTTACTAGCTTCTGCAGCAATTTAGTAATTGCTGCAGACTTAGTTGTTGGACCCTGCTGTTAGATTGTCCAAATGTGCCCTTGTTCAGCAAGGTAAGCAAAGAGACTTTGCTTGCAGTTCTCTACTTGTTCCCTCACAGTGTTACAGAGAACTATTGTTGGCAGCTGATATCACCAGAGAATTATAATTGCAAATGTGAGTGAAAAGTCATTAAGTGAAGGAGTGTGCTAAATGTGTCATTGATTGGAGTCTGCAACACCAGACTCAATTGATACCCACTCAAAAGAACCCCCAAACAATCGACAACCTACTTAACAAATGACATATTTATATAGATTTTTTTTGTTTCTGTCTTTTTAGGAAGGTTTTTCCATCCATGCTCAGCCATGTTTGAGTCAGCAGGTGTGGAGGACTTCAGTAGTGAACTTATCACAAATAATTCAATCTTTACCATTCCTGGTATTTAGATTATTTTTTGGAGGACACTGCAATGAACATCTATTAAGTGTATTCTTTATTCCTATTTCTTGTCAAGTTTAAGGTTGTTTTTTGTCCTTGAGCTCTGTCTTCCATTCTCTTAGAACAATCAGATCACTGGTAAGAACTTTTTTGTATTTTTTCAGATTGGAGGATCTTCTGAATCTTATGGTTTAAAGATGCCTTTAAAATAAAAGAGCCTAGTTTTTACAGGCAGTTTTGTCATCTCAGATCAGTGAGATTGGTTACCTTGGAAGAAGAAAAGACAGATTATGGGCCCATATTAGGAGTTGGAAGACTTCAGGATAACATAGAGATATATCATTCAGAGGGAGCTGGAAATTCTTAGTCATTTGTTTTAATAGTTTATTATTAAATATCTGCAAGAATCTGTCCCACACTGAGCAATCTAGTTTCCCTGTAGATCTTTACCAAGAATGAGGCAAAAATTCCTTTCCTGTTAAGAGGGACCAAAAGAGGTAAATAGCTGAAACTATGAAATTAGATCTATGCCATGGATAGCAGTAATGAGTTATAATGTTCAACCTGCTGAGGTTAAGTAATCAAAATTTCTTGCTGACACTGAGGAAGGAGTACTTCAATGAAAACTTGAGGGAAAGGATAGAATCCTTATATGAAATCTGGCCTAACACATTAATAGTATTCCTGTTTCTCCTAATTTTGCAGTTCTTGTTGTTCAGGTTTCTCTTGTGCATTGGGATGAGGCTGTCATGCTGGAAAGTTTAAAATCTAGAAAGTGAAAATAACAGTGCATGTTGCTGTATGTCCCATAGCAATATAAACTGCTGGATGACTGTGTACTGAAGAAGAGAAATACAAGTAGGGGTGGTAATACTCTTTCTTCTTTTTTCTGTTCTTGATTGCAGGTTAACCTACTGGTTGGAACTTTGAGGGTAATTCATTATGATAACTTTTTAGTGGGGTAGATGAGTTTTAATATATTTTTAGTTCATTTTTAAAGCAAAATGACCTTGAATTACCCACTTCCTATCTCCTTTGGTGACCGTGGAGATTACCAGTTACTGCTGAACTTTTCTGAAATAAAGACTTAATTTGCCTGAATAGCATCTTGGGTATGGTACTCCACCCAGTGAAGAGCCAAAATGCTGTTCCATAAATAAACATATGGTTTCTTTAGGCTGAGCTGTGTTGCTCAGCCAGAGGAATATGAAACTATGGTGATGAAGAAGGGGGTATCTAACTGCTGCCATCATTCTTAGGCAGAGCACACTAAGTTTATGACTTTTTCGAACTTTGCCTCACATCTCAGTCTGAACAACCTTCAATCAGGATCTGAACTTTATTTTGGCTCACACCATTATCCTTTTTCAGTAATATGTCCTCCTCAGAACTCCTTTAGTCAGATAAAAATAATTACCACACAGACTTTCAGTTGTTTGTTTTTCTGAACTAATTACATATGGTATATGCGTCCAGTCCTCACTGAAATTCCATCTGAGGTGTGTTAGTAACATTCTACTTTCATGTATTTTTAAAATAAAAAGGCACTTTTTTTTCCTCTTTCTTTACAATTGGTAATGTTAGATTCAGTCTCTTCCATTGTGTTAGAATTCGTGTCCCGCTTTAAAAGTATTTCTCTGTCTTGTGCTGAATTTGTTAGTTGCACTGTGTAAGTATTAGTGATCAAAAGAAGCTGAATGTATCTTTTCTGAAAATACACGGGAAATGCAGTGTTAAAACTACTTGTGTACACTTCCTACTTGGCTGTAATTCCTCATGATGGATATTGTTAACTTGCTGTGCTACAATGAACTCTGTGTGGGTGTCAAAAGTTCACTGCAGTTCACAGTGGAACTCTTGATTTTGACTGTGAAGTTTGTGTGCAGTTCAAGGATCCCTTTAATAGTTAGGTTTTAATGTTTAATTCTCAGTTCTCTTCTGGTCAATATGCATGACTTAAAAAAACTCCAAAACCTCATAGCAACAGTGAGCATCTGTCTGCCTCTGTCATTTCTCATTACTCTCTGCTTGCATCAGGCATCTGAGGCTAAATTGCTTTGACTGGCAGATGGACTGACTGACAAGATCTGGCTCCAAACACTCATACACATGAGCTTACACACACACACAGGCTCCTTGGGCTCCATTTACAGTTCACTATTTCTACGTGGTGATTGAGGTCCCAAATGCAGTGAGTTTCAGTGGTGGTGCTGGTTGTAGAGTGAGGGAGAGGAGGAAGCTCTTTGTGTTTGCCTCCTCAGCTTCTTCCTTTCTTTCTTTCTCCTCCTTCTTGTCTTACTGGGCTTTTTGCTCATGAAAGGTGCTTTGGAATTGGTGAAGGAACACAAACAGTATTGTAATGTATTTAAATGCTGACTTTTCCATGAGGGAAATCCCATGAGGGTTTTTTTCAAGTCATGCATATTGACCAGTTATGAATTAAACACTAGAGAATTATGAACTAAGCACTAAATCCTAACTATTAAAGGGATTCTTGAACTGCACACAAATCTAAATACAATAGGAAGAACTTCACAATGGAAGTCAACTGCCAGCATCCTAAATTTTCTGGTAGTTAAATAAGAATTTTTTTTTTAGTTGTTGTTGTTACTCTGGAGTATTGACAGCTGAAGAACAGTTCCTAGGCAGGTATTTAACATTGCTTTTAATAACAAAGAGGTAAATTTCAGGTGTTAGAAGGACCTCATGTGGTATTAAAGGTATGTGTCATTCCTTGTGTTCTCTATGTGTGGAGTTAGGAGAGGACTTCACACTTCAAAGAATGGTGTCTTTTGTTACGGTTCTCAAAAAAAAAAAAAAAAACAGTCAAAGGCATTAATGGAAGCCAGCAGCCAATGTTCTTCAGCTTGTGACATTAGAATAAATCCTGGTTGTTTCCAGAGCTTTTAATCTTTACAAAAACAAGAGGCCTGTGCCATTAAGGAAGATACATTTTTGTTTGAAAAGAAGAAAGTGGTTGGGAAAATATCTGAAGATGCTTCTTAATGAATGTATGGCTTCAGTTTTAATTGAACTTTTCTAGAAATTGGTGTCTTTGAAGCATGCTGTACTGTCACCTGTAATGCCTCTACCTTTTTTAACACTGCAACTTTCAACTCCTTTTATACAAATATAATTACTTTGTAAGATGTTACACAAGTATTTGTAGTTGATAGTGAATTCAATAAGACAGCAAGAGATGTCATTGTCGTATAGATTGGCAGTTTTGTGATGATGTACATGGTAAAACAAAACAAGGTTGTGGAGATTTTGTTCTCTTTGGGCAGGTGACATTGTAGTAACCTTCATTTTTCCTTAAGAAGTGTTAAAGGAAAGCAGCCCAAGAAATGGCTCATTGCAACTTAATGCTCAGCAGCCTAATTAGTCAAATACCATGTGCCTACCTCTGCATGAAATAGCCTATTTCTTTCCAATGTAAAATAGGAATTTTCAGTTTTGGAACAGCCTGAAGAGCCCTTTGTTGCAAATGACCAGTGGCTTTTTAGTTATTTATTCTCAAAAATAATGAAGGTCAGCATGGTATCCATAGTGACTGCATGCCGCTTCCTCGTTAATCTTGGCATGCTGCTGTAATAACGAAATTCACTTACTAGTAACAACTTCTCATGTTGCAGAGGGAAACCTTTCTTTGAAAACTGGATGTGATTGGGTTTCTGTAACTGGAGAAATCTTGAATACTGTTGTTTTTCTTCAGTTTTAAACTCCTTGCCATAATTTCTGGTTGTATGAGTTGCTGTGGAGGTCTAAATAGAGAACAAGCAACCTTAAATTGCTGGAGTTTACGTCTAATCTGGCACTGGAAAACTTGTGACTTGAAAAATTATTTTCATTTGGAAGTGATAAGGACTGCTAAATGGGGAATATATCATTCTGCTTGCAGCTCTGTTAGTGGGAGGAAGGCATTCTGCTATAAACTACAAAATTAAGGCTTCTAAGGAGTATGTGAATATGATCAAGCCAGAATGGTTGAATGCTCCCATTTCCACGGTGTGAAACCTAAGCATTAGGAGAAAGTGCAACAACTAACTGAGTGAAATTAGTAAATTTTAGTAAATTACTTCGGTGTAATGTACACTGTTTCCTCTTTGAGTATTATATAGTGTAAATACTAAATTTTAATATTATAAAGGTTCTTTTAATTTAGAGAAAATACTGTTGCAGAACTGAATGCAAGTCTTGTGGGAGTTTTGACAGAAACTTGAAGATGGGGAGTGAAATGGCTCCATCCTGAGGCTGCTTTTCCTCTTACCCCATCCCTCTCCTTTAATGCTTACCCAAAGAGAGTTGGTTTGGTTTGGGTTTATTTTCATCGGTTGTAGTAGAGCTTTAAACTAATCCAGCAGGATTCTAACCTTGAGGGTAAATATTTTCAGAATTCTGTCAATTTTCTGTTTCTGGTATTTCTTTATTATGAGCATGGCTTATTTTTGCTTCTGTTTTTTGTTTTACATAGAGCTGTACTTAAAACCATAAATATTTATGAGAGGATGCCATTTTCTAAATTTATGGGAAAGTTCAAAGTGGAAGTTGGTTTTTGAGAGTTCCAGGAATGACCCTATGGGGAAGTAAAGTCAATGTATCTTTAAAATAATAATAATGTCTATTTTAAATGTATAAATGAAATATAAATTTGTAAATATAAAATAATATATAAATAAGAATGAATCTATTTGAACCTAAAGACGTCTTAAAATGTATATTGAAATTGAGAATTTTTAAGCTAGTTATTACATTTAGAAATATTAATGTAAGTTGTGCATGAATCTAAAACTGTAGTTTTGCTACTGAATCTAAAAATGTGTTTTCTTCAATATTAGCTGCACAGTAATTGGCTGGAATGCTACAGAAGTTTCTCTTAAATCCTTTCTTTTTTTATTTCCCTCTCCTAGAGGTGACCAGCTGCTGTGCACCAAGGCCCTCGCAGTGATGTATCGTAGTCTGTTGCTGTAAACATCCCCGACTGGAAGCTGTACCAGCTCCAGCTTTCAGTCAGATGTTTGCTGCACCTGGCTATGCTTGGACAACAGCAGGAGGAGAAGCTGTCATGAACACATGTGCATTTATATTTGTCAAGCAGGGTTTCTATAGACAGAGATGAATTGCCTCGCCATGAATCATCCTGGCTGGTAGGTGTGATCTCCTGAAATCTAGTCTGAAATGAAGATCCAGAGCTGGTGTGTGAGTTGCTCAAAGCCGAGCTCTTTGCTGCTTTGTGACATGAACTACAAGATTAGGCTTCCTGGGAATGACAAGTGGTGATAAACTTCTACAGTTACCCATTGCTTTATCAATTGTCTGTTTTAGCAGCTTCTGTTACTTAGGGCTATGAAGACAAATTATTATCAATGCTGGAAAATACTTAGCAGGCCTCTGTATGTATCTGCTGTGCCTTGCTTTTTGTTGTTTTCTCTAAAATTCTGTATTCCGAGTCCCCTTGTGAGAAGGTTGTGCTCCTAACTCTTTGTTAGCTGGGCATAAGCCAAGACCAAAACAAAGGTTAAAAACACATTGCCAGGTCTGTTTTTGCTGTTCTCCCAATCCACAGTGTATGTCCTTGTCTGTGGTGTGCTTTGTGCTGCCCCCACCATGGTTTGCTTTTAATGGCAGTAACAACTTTTGAAAGTATTCCTTCAGAAATAAGTCTTCACTGGTTCAGTTCCTGTACAACTTAAAACAGTCATGTCATCAGGAACAGTATCTGCAGAATGGCTTCAGCTTTCCACTTTTCTCCAGTGGAATCTGCATGTGCTGATGCCTGGATTTTGCCTGGGATTTCTTTCCTTTGTTTCACTCTAGTCTTATATTTCTCAAGGGATGACCAATGAGAGTAATTGCTTCTAATACAAAAAATATTCTTCCAATAATTTGAAATATCCTTCCAATTATTTAGCTCTCCATTCTTTTGCCTCCCAAAATGTTGGGTTTTTTTTTCATTGCCTAACACTTAAATGAAAGGCTTTATAAGTGGTAGTATTAAATACCTAGTAAACCTAGGTATTTATTTGTTCAGCTTCACTATAGTGGTTCTGTAAAAGATGATTATGACCAAAAATATAGATACTTTTAAAAAGTAAAATATTTTCTCCTTAACTTATCAGAATTAGAAGTAGGAGGATTTCTTAGTCCTGGGAAAGCTGGTCTAATAAGCATTGGTAAGATGATGTCAGTGAAGTTGTCAGTGAATGACCAAAGGTGAACCAAGGACAGCTATTTTTCTGTGATGGTCCCATTGCTGTAACCATTTTGTTTCCTACCCTATGTTCTGTCTGGTGATATAGGAACATGTGTGGTGATAGAAGGTTGTGACCTTATTTATTAATCTAATTCATTGCTAGCACTTCTACAAAGATTTTTAAAGCAACTTGCACACCTAATACAACCTCAGTTAAAATTGCTTTTTAAAAAACGACTGTCTATTTGGTTTGATAAATCATGGCTGTATATTTATGAAATGGGCTTTGATGCAGAAACTACAGAGCTTGATTTGTTAAAAAAAAAAAAGAAAAAAGCTGGTAGTTGTTTTCCAAGCTTGCTTTGCTGTAAATATTTAGCATTTCTTAGTTCTAGATAGTATTTGGACTTAGAAGGAAGGAAGTGTTTTTTGTTAACAAACTTCTTTGTTCAAAGTAAATGTCTTATAATTAATCTATTGTTCATTTTGGTTAGTGCTGTCTTAGCCATTCCAGATGCCATGAGTGCCAGATGAGTGCTGCCTTTTTTTTTTAAAGCTTAATTTGCATGCGGTTTGTCAGTCCAGTCTTGTGGAATTGAACTTTTGCATACCTTCATATTGTACTGGTGTCTAATCCATGTATTCAAACACAGCTGTCACATGTCAGCATATAAAAATAACTTGAAGTCGTTTGTAACTACAGGAAATAAATAAATTTAAAAATCCATACTGTATTTTTGTTTGATTTTTTTTTTTTGCCAAATGTTTGAAATGAAAGGATCTGCTCTTTGTTCATGAAATACCAAGTCCTGATCCTAACATGTCTCAAACGTGGCTGTTGTTTGCAGCTGAAGAAGGTGAGTGTTGTAATGTTGTCCAAATGCATACTTATGCCATAATCCCAGGTGAGCTTGCAGTACTGGGATATCTGGGAGAGGGTGATGGTCATTTGGCATAGTGTCTGTGCAGTTCTGGTGGGGATGAGGGGTTGAAGTGACTGTTGCAGAATAAGGCAGGACAGGCTCACAAACACAGCAGTGAAGCTTGGGAACAGAAGAGGCAGGTTTGGCAAATCAGCCTGATGCCCAGCAAGCAAATGACCTCATCTTGTTCATGTGAAGCCAGTGACCATTGCTCGTGTGACATGGATCAGTTCCTGGTGTTTTGCAGCAGAGAGAGATACCTGAATGAAAACCAGGCTGGGGATCCAGAGTGACACAGTGGCCACACAGCTACTGCTTTTGGGTAGGTGGCATTAGTTGTATGTGCAGGTGCAAGGTGCAGCTGTCTTTGCTCATAAAAGCTTGTGATTAATACCAAGGTTGACCCTTACTGAGCAGGTGGAGTGTGGAGTGTCTGTGAAGTCCAATGTTTGGCTTGCCTGTGGTGTTCCTCAGCACTTTTTGTGACCACTTATGAGCAATACCCCAAAGTCCTTGGTGACTGCACTGGCCTGGTCAAGCACTGCCTTCCCTTGCTCGGAACTCACAGCTGTGTTCAGCAGAATTGCTTGAGCTCATGTTTTCTTTCATACAAAGAACAACTGTTAAAACGTTTGGAGGGCTGCCCCCCTCCTCTATACATGAAATAATCTGCATCTGTGATTCCTTTTACCCAGGAAAGCTGCAAACACCTGTTTAGAGAAGAGCTTGGAGAAGGCTGAGGTTCAGCCTCTTGACTGATTGGGTTCATCAAAATTTTCTCTTCCTGCACTGCTGAAGTCTTGTTTGTTCAAGACTGGACATCAAATTAAACACACCTGTAAAGTACAGCATAAGGTTCTGAAACTGAGCAGTGTTTTGCTCCTCTGCTATTATAATGACTCGTATTTCTGAGTAGCTAAACTGGAGGTGAAAATAAGAACGAAAATAGTTGAAATAGTAGAAGTGCCTTAAAGTTCTAGAGGAGAAATGGGAATTAATTTAAGAACATAAAAATAATATATGCAAACAAATGCTGTAAAATTTAGTACACTAAGGAAACTCCAGGAATGTAAACAAAGGGTTGTTTTTGCACAGAATTTGAGATGGATATTTTTGAGGACTCCCAGTTTGTACCACTCCATTAATCTCCCAGATATATTTTAGAATTGCGTTTTAGTTTTAAAAATCATTTGGGATTTCTAGAAGGTGCCTGTACTGAACATCAAGGGCTTTGACAGGTAAGTACAATTGCATGCTTTTCTACAGAGGCTGTGAGAGAGAAACATCTTATTTTTGCTTTTGGACCTCTGCAGCATCAGGGACTGTCTATGGATATTACTGTTTCTGATATTCAGGAGATTTTAATGTTAAAATGCATGGATTGACTTCATAGTGTTACTGAAGATTAATAAGAGTTGCATGTACTGTATAAGTGGTACAAATGTATCAAAGTATGTCTGTGCAGATTTTTTTTAACATCTTGAAAGGCACTGCTGTATTTATATAGTTCAGCTAATTTTTAGTTCTTGTAAACATCCTACACTCAGCTATAACAAGAGGTGGGGCTGGTGGATGGATGTTTACTTCAACTGACTTGGAAAGGCAGCTTTCCTCTATGACCAAATGACATTGGCAAGCAGGGAATCCTATTTTTCAGCATATTTAGCATTGTAAGCACTAATTTCTATGGAAGAAGTATGTATTTCTAGAATCTCTTCATGATTAAATTATGATTCTGGCTGTATAAAGGCCTATATGTTTGTTGGGTAACAGGCTTTAACTGATGGGATCTATATCTTTCTAATTGCAAATAAACTGTGACAATATATCTTTGCTTGAAAAGCAACATCTCATACCCTGATGACAGAAATAATCTGAAACCTTATATTGAATGTTCAGTTCTCAGATCCAGCAGTGATTTATTGCCTATTATCTACTTAATCATTGTCAAAAGAGGAATAGATTTACAGGGTACTGCAAAAACAATTCCCAAACCAAGTGATCATTAAAGTAGTAAAACTACTAAGCTTTAACATTGCCCTTTATATCTTAAAAATTGACAGATATCTTTGACAGTGGAAATCTGTATAGGAGAAAAAAGACAAGCATCTCTTGTGTTCCTAATAGCTCTTCAATCATGTCTTAGAATCACATTCCTACTGCTGGATGTGTTGTTAAATGAAGTATGGCTTTAGCATTTGGGCATCATTAAATACCAGAAAATTTTAAAAAATAAATATTTTTATTCAAATGGAAGAATGGAGGGCATAGAATTCCTTTATAAAGCATAAACTGGCTTCTTGAGGATCACTTTTACAATCTGGTATCCTTGTTAAAATTTGAAAGGCTCAGACTCTAAAATGTAATATTTTTTACTTATAAGGCCAAATACATTATAAAAATTAGTGAGAGGATTTTTCCTCATTTAAATTCACACACATGAGCCCCATTTCGCTATAATTGGACTTTTTCTTGTGCTTTTTGCTTACAAACTGAGGAGGTCTTTAATATGTAGAAGTCCTTGTGGGCAAGTGTTATGCAATATATGGCACTGGAGGGTATTGCATGGAAGAGACCACATCAAATTCTGTATCTGAAAATCACCTGTGTCTGTGTGAACACTGCAGTGCAACCATATGTTTGCTGTGTGTGCACTTCTGCATGTACAAAACTGTTCTTTTAGATTTTTATTCAGTGCATCTGGTTTAACTGGTGCAAAACAGATCTCCAGTTGAGATGAACTAGGGAAGTATGATGGATGCAAGCTCTCCTCCTCGGGAGAGATGATGTAATTAAAAACATTGAAAGCTTATCTCAGAAAGAATCTGCATGTCTATTCTATTCCATTACCCAGAATTAGGTGCCTTATGGTGTCCCTGACTCTGCCTGAGAGAACTTTTCTCAAGTTCTGCTGTCTTTGCTTCACCCATCCTGCCATGGGTTGCCATGCTGTGGGGATGCCAGGTTTTGACAGCTGGGCTGAAGCATGAGGAAAGTGCCAAGACAGGATTTCCCTGAGAGGCTGTAACATCTTGCAGCTTTGCTGGTGAATGTTATGTGATGGTGAATGTTGATGCACTCTTGAGCCATCCCACTGTGATTCCTGCCCTTGCTCACAGGAAGGAGCACACTCTGTAACTAGCACAGCTCTCTGGTGTCAGGGAACAGTGAAATGCTCTCGGCTGTCCTTGCTCAGACTGGATCCATGCCCTCGCTCGGTGTATTGTGTGCACCACAAGCTCATGGAGCTGTGCCATAGTGCCACGACAAAAACAAGAAAAAAAATCAGTTTGATGGCAAGAAGGGATCTTCAAATCGACAGTTACTGCCAACCAAAATGTCTAAGATGCATCTTTTCAGCCAGTGCCTTTATGTGGAGTTACTTTCCTTGGTAGCAGGGACAGTGAGTAAACAATCTTAGCAGATCAGATGTGGAGGCATATTTGGTGTTTTAGTAGGTTTTTTTTTTTTAATGCATTTGAAACCTAGAATTCATATTGCAGAAACTCAAGTATGATCCAACTAGACACTTACTATTGTTTTATTATGGAACAATTCTAACTGCTTTTGATGCGGCCCTTGAAAACTTACTAAGAGTAAAATATAAATATAATAAACCAATGAACCCCTTGGAGCCTTAATTAATGTAAGTATTTGAATAGTTGGGGTTTTCAAGAGTTTGAGTTCTTTGTGGTTCCAGGTTTGGAGATTTTGTTTAGCTGCTCCTCGGTTACATAGGCAGTAGGTTATAATGATACTGTATCAAATGATTTCAAATAGTTTGGCTTCTCCTAAGGGAGAAAACACACTCACTGAAGAATGTTAGAACCAGGAGAAGGGGTTGTTGGTTTTCGGTTTTTTTAAGTCAGGATTTGATAGGAGAATGACTACTGTGCTTGTGTGCACCCTTCCATGTGCTTGGCTGCACTTGTGAGTGCTGTGAGCGCTGACTTGTTTTCTGTTCTGTGAAAATCTTCATTTGAGAATCAGACAGATTGATTTTGGTACTGTTCCTCCTCACTGAGGTAATGTTTGGCATTCTGGTTTGTGCTAAACTAAAACTAAACTTCTAGAATATGTGTTCGAGGATTCCAAGCATAAAATAACTGCAGAATTTGAAACTATGTTTTAAATAGTATAGTTTTTCTTCCATTTCATTCATGCTTTTTAGATAAACATTGATAATCCCATGGTGCCAGTGATGGCCTAAACCAAAATTGGATAAATATTTTGGGCAAAGATAGAGTCTAAATGATTTATAAGATTGTCTGGAAGTTTTTTATAGATATGACATCAATGTTAACTCAACAGTCAAAAATTAAATTTCTCTTGAAAAGCACAGAGGCATAGTTATTGTGGATTTTTTCACAGCAGTTTTGAAAAAACACAATTATTCATATGTTTGATTCTTCCTGGGTTTGTCTTCTGCTGAAAATACAAGTATTTCAATAGATGTTCATTAATATTTGCTTTACTTGTCTGTTGTGTTCACTGAGACTCTTCCAAAATTCAGCTCACATCCTTTTAACCAGCTGTGCCAGTTCTGACCAGCTTAATTCATGTTTTACAGAGGTTCTGTGTCTGGGGAGAGTACAAAGTTAGAACTGCTTAAAACTTGAACTTAAAACATTATTTTATAGTAGGAGAGTATAATAGTGAAGGTCTTACCTCTGGCACTGGATTTTCTCTTTCTGTTAGGGAGCAGCAGATCCCTCACTTGTCCTGCTTTGCAGCCAAGGAAAGCCTGATCCATGGAACAGTGCATGGGCCCTGGAAGCAGAACGAAGGAACTGCAATCTGTGACAGTCAGAATTGTTTGTTGTCTGATAACATCACTGTCTCAGCAGGGAAGTCATTTCCTGTAAACAATATGGCTTTATCTGAAAAATCTGCCATTTTAATAAAGTGAAAAATTATTTTTCCAAGCTTCACACAAGCCTTATCTTTGTCTGACAGGAAAAAGGGAAGCGGCAGGGATGAAAGATGCTTTGTGAACTGAGCTCTGTTTACTTAAGGCTATGGAAAAAAACATATACGTTAAGTGCATAGCTTAATGCATTTTTTTTAATAAACACATTTTCCCACATATTATTAAATTAGTTGAATTGACTAACTACCATCTAGTGGAAAATGAGATTTGTTAAACCTTCTTCTTCTGGAGATGTTTCACTCTTATTCTAAGGAGTTTGTAAGATAGCAGATCTCTACCCTGGATCACAGTCCAGTGTTGGCAGGCACAGAAG